CTAAACAAATGACTCGGTACTATACTGTATAGGGAGCTGTTTGTTATTAACAGATACTAAAGTAACTGAACAAATGATCCGGTACTATACTGTACTGTATAGGGAGCTGTTTGTTATTAACAGATACTAAAGTAACTGAACAAATGATCCGGTACTATACTGTATAGGGAGCTTTAAGCTATTAACAGATACTAAAGTAACTAAACAAATGATTTGGTATTATACTGTATAGGAAGCTGTTTGATACAGTATAGTACCGGATCATTTGTTTAGTTACTTTAGTATCTGTTAATAACAAACAGCTTTCTATACAGTATAATACCGAATCATTTGTTTAGTTACTTTAGTATCTGTTAATAACAAACAGCTCCCTATAGTATAGTACTGAGTAATTAGTTTACTGTACTATCTGTTAATAACTATATAGTATAATATTGAATCATTATGTTCCCTTTACAGTATAGTACTGAATCATTTGTTTAGTTACTTTAGTATCTGTTAATAACAAACAGCTCCCTACACAGAGACATGATTTCTGCCAAGTATCTGACTTCTTCAGGACTTGAGCTTAGTCTTCTCTAAAAGCTCCAAAAGTGAATAGATAAGAAACATTCTCTCTGTAACTGACCAATCAGGAAAAGAGCATGGAAATATTTCTGCTCAGTGTGACAACCACAAGCTATCCCCAACATATATGGCCAAGAAGGACACAATGCAACTATTTCATAAAACAGTAGGTTAAGTTCCTTGACTGGTGAAGCTACAAAAAAGTAAGACCTCAGGCTGAAATTTTGCAAATGACCTCAAATGGATTTAGTGTGTTCCAAAATTAGAAATTACAAAAAAGTAAGAAATTTGTAGGTAAAAGATGTACACAATAAGAAATTAAGATCTATAGTATTTGCATACTACAAGTAATTTATATATAACCATAGCAACAGAAATACATGTAAATGCTTTCATTTTGATTGAACTAGTACATTATTTACTAGATTGTAAACAATTTTTTTATACTATTAACCCTCTGATGTGTAATAAAATTAAATACAAATGTAGATTTATGATGACAGCAGTGTCTTTAATTCAAAATAAACAGAATTTAGATTTAGCTTGTCTACACCTAATTACATACATAAAGTTTATCCTATTTGCCCATGCAAATGATATATTCTGTAGAAATCAGTACTGAGGAGTTATGTTACTTACACATTATTTTCTTTAAAAAGACAATAAATAATCATGTATTTCAAATACAGTAAACATTAATTATACAAATTAAAAATCTACAGTATTAAACATTTTAAGTAGTTTAACTATTTCATGCCAATCACTTACTTGCAAGAAGATCATCTGTCTAGATGGCACTTGAGCAAGATAGCCAAGTATGTTGTTCAGAATAGAATCCTATTTTATGATAGAAATGAAACGAAATTATGCACAGGTATTAGAACTTTTTGCTACTCCCATCTATTACTAACAAAATTGCAATTTCTTATAAAGCTCTTTCCATGATTAATCATATTACCGTTGCACTTCAATTTTAAAACCTCTAAGTCTATCATTATGTGATATATTTTAAAAAATTAGTTTCCAAATTGTATTTTCTCACAATCTATGAATATAAATATATATACAAACATTTAAAAAACATCTGAAAAATGAAAAGGAATTTCAATTCTGAGCTTTGCCTTAAGACAAAAGAAAGAAAAGGGCAATGTGATATATGCTACTCTATGGATGCCATATTCTAAGGGACCCAAATTTTCTTCTATATGAAAGCCCTCTTGTAAATATTAATTACTGGAAGAGTTTGGTGTCATAATTACTTTTACATCTGTTGTTAATTACTGGAAGAGTTTGGTGCCATAATTACTTTCAGATATTAGAAGCAGATTTATCTTATGGAAAAAGTAAACTGACAATTATTCACTCTTATATATATCAGTCAGAAAACTACAAGATTAGGAATGACAGAATACTGACTAATGTGTACATGTCATGATAAACAGTAGTTTTGACAACATTCAAGTGGTATACATTTTGTATATATATATACATCAGCTTTTACACTATTTGTATTTATCAGTTCCCTGAACACACAGTCCTAAATTATTTCAGTCCCTCACAAAAAAACATCTTCCCTCCTCATCCCCCTGAAAAAACAACTACCCAGGGTTCTAGCTGTTACTAACAAAATTTGATTTGGTAGATTTTAACTTTCCAAGTTACAGTTTAGTTAAGCCTATATAAAGTGTTACACAAAATAAAAATGTACAAAAATATTACTTATGATGTTGTTTTCATTAAAAAAAAACTTGATTTCCAAGTTTATTACTTATCACTTTGTCAAAATAATTCTGTTTCATGGATGCATAAATAAATATTTTGTTTACTGAATCACAGAATTTCCAGCTCATTTGATCACATTTTAGATACGATTCTATTATCAGACTAAGATAAAATTTGTTAAAGTTCTTATACCAGTGGTTCACAACCTCGGGTCACAACCCAAATCAGAGTCACAATAGTTCCTTAGTAGGGTCACGAGGGTTATGGGTATATATATTTTCCTAATGCTTGTGACTCGAAGGAAGTAATAATTGAACTTAATATTAGATGTACTTGAAAAAATTCAATATCATAGATATACATGAAAAATGCAAGGAATGAAAAAAAGCAATACTATTTAGATGTCATTTCTTTCATATAGAGTGTAATGCATAATAAAAGTACATGTCACTACCATTCCTTTAACAAAATAAATCACACACATTGTTCAAACAAGGTCATACGCATTAAAAGAACATGCAGTTTCTACCAAAACAAAATTATTTCTTTGAAAATAAAATCACTTAAAACTTTTAATTAGGCTGTTATAATTTTTCCATTAATCTTTCTTGTAGAAAATCTAGATTTATAAATATAATGCCTGTAAAAATTTTCAGTCTCTTTGGCTGAAAACGAATTCAAACCATGTTATTATCCACCTTTATAAATAGACGACAAATTTTATTAGGTATGATGATAATTATTAGGATACCATGAAAATAATTCCAGAAGAACATGTAAAACATTGGTTTAAAAGAGTTAATTCAGACTTGAATTTTCATTCATAACAAACCTAAGCAAAAAAATCTATAAATGTTGTAAATTAATTGCACTTGTAGTTATATAACTTATATTGACAATATTATTTATCATATTAGAAAGATTTTCTTGCCACTGCTAAACATCCTGGAAAAAGAACTCTTACACAACAACATATTACTTGAACTTAGATATAAGCATCATTAGTCAAATTTTCAAGTCCAAAGCTTCTAACAAAACATACAACTTTAATTTCGAAGTTATAAATTTACCATTTCCTAATAAAAATATTCCAAATAAGTCAGAGACAGCACATATAAAAGGCTTGGGAAGGCTTAGTCTCCCCAGATAAACTGTCACTCACAGAACATTGATCTCACCAACTCAAAAATATTATGTATTATATGTGTAGAGAGAACAAAAAACAGTGTATGTGTGTGTCACTAAGGAAAGTTTATTTTTTTAGGAGTTTGAACTGATCCTTCTCATTCTCAACTGTGACAGAATAGCCTACCCAAACAAAAGACTCACACACAACATCTGAAATAAGTTATGCTAAGTTTACTTATTAGATATAATTTATTCACTAATACAGGATTTAGTGAAAAAAAAAGAGTTCATAACTCACTCTCATTTCTCATAAATTAGGTTTCTTCTATTGGTTTTGAACACTATGTTCATTCAACTTTGTAGTAAGTTCAACAATTTCCTTTCTACCTCTTGAGGGATTAATAAATTTTATTGAATGCCGTGTCCCTTACAAAACTATCATGTCTTTACCTCAATTTCTTATCCAGCTATTTTTAATTACATTTTAGGATAATAATCAACAGCCTTAGAATGGCATGATTATTACTTTTACTTCTTGCTACTTATTGCATTTCATATAACAGCTCCTTACATTTCAGATTCCTGT